ACTTGCAGCAAACAGAAATGTAAAGCCTCTAAAATTGTGTGAAGACTGATGTCTAAGTGAACATAAATATGAAATAGACAGATATGCACAAAAGATCCCAAGGACTCTCTACTATTATGTGTTCATTAGGGTTCCAGCTTAATGCATTCTTTATTGCCTAGAAATTCATTTCATTTGCATTTTAACAGGGTTTTAGTCAAGTTAATCCCCTTTCTTCCTTTGATAAGAAACTATTCTGCAGGTTCAGCAAAAATTTTCTAAAGAAGAAAGAAAAAAAATCAAATTGTCATCTTGCAGTTAAAAACTAAATTTGTGGGGTGTGGTGGTGGGTTGGAAGATAAAGTGATTTGTGTGAATGAGGGCAAAGGTCTGCATCTTCATAATCCACACAAAAACCAGGTAGACTGGAGTGCCAGATGCTTGCAATCTGAGCTATCTGAAGGCAGTGACAGGGCATCCTGGATCATAAGATCCCTAACTCAAACAGTAAAACTGGCAAGCCAAGAGCTCAGTAAGCAACACTGATTCAATTAATATGGAGTGGAAAACAATTAAAAAGACACCCAGTGTTGACTTTGAACCTCCACAAAAAATATACATATGCACACAACCACAGAAACAAATGCACATAATAACATGCATCTACACATAAGCACATACACCTACACAAAAGCACATACACCTACACAAAAAGCACATACACCTACACAAAAAGCACATACACCTACACAAAAAGCACATACACCTACACAAAAGCACATACACCTACACATAAGCACATACACATAAGCACATACACCTACACAAAAAGCACATACACTCACACAAAAGCACATACACCTACACAAAAAGCACATACACTCACACAAAAGCACATACACCTACACAAAAGCACATACACCTACACAAAAGCACATACACCTACACAAAAAGCACATACACCTACACAAAAGCACATACACATAAGCACCTATATATACACATAAGCACATACATATATATGGACATCTAAGAACATACATCGGGTATACCAAAGCCCTTTAGATTTTCTTTTCATAGCTCTTTATATCATTTCTTTTCAACACCAAAATCATCTCACATCGGTTCTAGCAAGCTCCACAACAAAGACGAACAATTTTGGTAATTTATGCTAAGTGTTAACTGGGGAAGCTATAGTAAAAATACCTACTTTTTGTGAGTGTAAACAATGGATAAATTAGACACTTGTAAAAAAAAGGATATGTTTTCACAACATGCTTATGCATGTAATACCTTGTATCAATGAAACACCTTTGTACAGGAATAATTTTAGCTAGAATTTTAAATATGGAAATTCAGGTCAGTAGTATGTTAATAAAATGGAAAAATAACATTGTTGATTGAAAGGAGCATGTTCATGATTTTAGCATTAATACTTTACAGACTACTATGTAGAGATATAGTAGTTCTTTATAGAATTATGACCAAGGCGAGCAGGAGCAGGGCAACAGTTCCACTCAGGAAAACAAACCCTCAGAAAGAAAGGAGAGATTTAGTAAACATGAACAAGACCAGACCAGTCAAGCTCTGTTAAAACTGGAAGATTTTTATTTATATTGTGTTTTGAGCACATTGTTTCTCATAGTTAGACAATCATTTCTAGTTTATTAAAAAATTTATTTAGTTGCATAATGCTTGATTTCTGAGGTAATTCTGGAAAGAATATTATTTTTTGATGTTCACAATCATATCACATTTTCAAATTGAACTTGACCTCTTCACTGTCTTAGCAGCTCAACATTTGGTACAAAAAAAATGTTGCCTAGTGCCCCCATAAATGTTTTCATGTTGAACACTGAACTCAAACCTCTATGGTTTTCCTAAATGAGGCAGAGTAAAGCTCTATTGCTGAAAATGACACATTCTTGAGATATAGAATGTGGAGAAATCAAACTAGTATTGACTTCAAACCTTCAGCTGTACTAGCTAGCTTTCATAATGCTGGAAGTTATGATGAACACTATTAGAGAAGAGAAATCATCAGTCTCACCCAGATGTGAACCTTGTGTGCTCGGGTAAATAACTTGGGGGCTAGATATGATTACTGGTGCCAAAGAGGCCAGAATGTGAAGGGAGTAACCAACTACTTTCTGAAGGGATGGCTACAGTCAAACAGTGTTTTCAGACATGAGAGAGCACTTACACATATGAAGTCAGTGGCTATGACAACACGTACAATTCTTGCTCAAGTCAAGCCAGAAAACAATCCATACGGAGTGGGAGATGGGCCAAAGTCTCACCTCTAGGGGATGAGCTATTGGAACTTGATACCTGCTAAGAGAGAAAAGAGTTTTCTTTAGAGTTGTAATGTCCTGGTAGGTCAACCATATTCCAAGAGAATTTGAGCAATAGAAATTAGACTCAACCTATTTTAATAAAAGGACAACATGATGTTAGGTGGGTAGGGAGTTGGGAGTGTATAAGAAAAATAAGTGGTATTAATAACAAAATTAAAATTTAATTAAACATTTCTACATAAAACCCAATACCATATACAGTGAATATATAACAATAAAAGGAAAAGTATGCATATAGCAACATTTCTTGACAATGAACATTTGAACATGTTAAACATGAAGCCAGGAAGCTTCACTGTTGTGATGTGTCAGTATGGGAGCAGGACTTGTTCACTTTAAAGACATACAAGAAACAAGATGAGAGATTCCCTGTGTGTAAGCCAATGAAAGAGACACAATAGTAGAGAACAACTGAAGAAGAGAATGGAGTATTATAAAAGAAGTCAAATGTGTCAGAATAGAGCAGAGGGAAAAAGCAGGAAATAGGAAGAAAATCATAATACTCCTTAGCCCTGCAGTTCCTTGGGATTGAATTTTCTAGAAGAGACAGATCACTAAGAACATTACCCCAAAAGAGACATTTAAGACAATATATGCAAAAGTTACAATACATAAACATGAGAAATATATGCCTGAACACCTAAGCACACACATACACACACATGCATACAAACACACATACAATCATACTAATGTTGAAACAAGGACATTTTAATAGAAATAGCCACAAAGATTCCTCCACTATAGACTACTGGCAATGGTCAAGAGAGTGCCTGAACTGACCTACTCTGGTGGTCTGATGGCCGAACACCCTAACTGTCATGGTAGAACTCTCATCCAATGACTGTTAGAAGCAGATGCAGAGATCCATGGCCAAACCCCAGGTGGAGCTCCAGGAGTCCAACCGGTGAAAGAAAGGAGGGATTATATGAGCAAGAGATATTGAGACCATGATTGGAAAAAGCACAGGGACAAATAGCCCTAGCGAAAACATATAAGCTGTGAACCAATGGCTGAGGAGCCCCCATGGAACTGGGCCAGGCCCTCTGGATAAGTGAGACAGTGGATTAGCTTGAACTGTTTAGGAGGCCCCCAGGCAGTGGGACTGGGACCTGTCCTAAGCACATGAGCTGGCTTTTTGGAACCTAGAGCCTATGCTTGAGACACTTTGCTCAGCCTTGGTGCAGGGAGGAGGGGACTGGACCTCCCTCAACTGAATCTACCAGGCTGGGCTGACTCTTCTGGGGAGACCTTGCCTTGGAGGAGGTGGGAATGGGGGGTGGATTGGGGAAGAGGGCTGGGGGTGGGAGGAGGAAGGACAATGGAATCCGTGGCTGATATATAAAATTAAATTAATTATAAAATAAAAATATTTATTAAAAAAATTAAATCCCCTTCCCCCCAGTCCACCCCCCATTCCCACCTCCTCCAGAGCAAAGCCTCCCCCAAGGACTGAGATCAACCTGGTAGACTCAGTCCAGGCAGGTCCAGTCCCCTCCTCCCAGGCCGAGCCTAGAGACCCTGCATAAGCCCCAGGTTTCAAACAGCCAACTCATGCAATGAGCACAGGAACCGATCTCACTGCCTAGATGCCTCCCAAACAGATCAAGCCAATCAACGGTCTCACCCATTCAGAGGGCCTGATCCAGTTGGGGGCCCCTCAGCCATTGGTTCATAGTTTATGTGTTTCCATTTATTTGGCTATTTGTCCCTGTGCTTTATTCAAACATGGTATCAAGAATTCTCATTCATACAAACCCTCCTCTTTCTCGCCAATTGGACTGCTGGAGCTCCACCTGGGGCCTACCTGTGGATCTCTGCATCCAGATCCCTCAGTCGTTGGATGGGGTTTCTAGCACGACTATTAGGGTGTTTGGCCATCCCATCACCAGAGTAGGTCAGTTCCGGCTGTCTCTCGACCATTGCCAGTGGTCTATTGTGGGGGTATCTTTGTGGATTTCTGTGGGCCTCTCTAGCACTTTGCTTCTTCCTATTCTCATGTGGTCTTCCTTTACCATGGCCTCCTATTCCTTGTTTTCCCTCTCTGTTCTTGATCTACCTGGGATCTCTCGCTCCCCCAAGCTCTCTTTCCCTTGACCCTCGCCCTTCATTACCCCCACTCATGTCCAGGCTGTTCATGTAGATCTCATCCATTTCTCCATCATTGGGCTATCCCCATGTCTTTCTTGGGGTCCTGTTTTCCAGGTAGCCTTCCTGGTGATACCACAAGAGCACTTGCTCAGCTATGTTCATAGCAGCATTGTTTGTAATAGCCAAAACCTGAAACAACCTAGATTCCCTTCAACTGAAGAATGGATAAATAAAATGTGGTACATATACACAATTGAATACTACTCAGCAGAGAAAAACAATGACATCATGAGGTTTGTAGGCAAATGGATGGATTTAGAAAAAAAAAAATCATCCTGAGTGAGGTAACCCAGACTCAGAAAGACAAACATCATATGTACTCACTCATAGGAGGATACTAGATGTGGAACAAGGATGATTGGACTGCTACTCACATCACCAAGATTCTTATTCTTCTTTAACATTTATGTTTTAATAAAGTTATGACCACATCATTCCCTCCTTGACTCCACCCTCCCCGATCTTATTTCTCCTTTGTCTCCTGATTTACTCCTTCTCAAATTTCCCCAAGAAATACTTACTAGACGAGGGAGATAGCAGGACCATGAATGTGGTTTTTCACAGGGTCATTCTCATCCATTCTACTCTCGATGTGCTGATCCCTCAAATGTGCAATTTCCTCAAATGTGGAAAATCTGACTTTTAACTTTTGATAATGGGTACTGTGTTTATACTCTTTCCTGTAAATAATTCACTTTTCACATCTAAAAAACACTTTATAGAAATTCAAAAGACCAAAAGACTTTCTTACACAACACACAGATCTTCTAAGATCTCCTATAGTTCACAAAAATTTGAAGGCACCCAAAGTGCGTAATAATGAAGAATTAAATAAACATATGAGAAATGTATCTACCTAAATTATGTTTTAGAATAGTGGTTAATAGCATGGGAAGAAATTTGAAGTATATTATTATTTTTTTAATTTGCTGAAACATTTTAATTGAAAAAGAGTTACATCATTTCTCCACTACTGTCTCCTCCCTCCAAACTCTTCCATTTCCCCCTTTCTCTTCACACACACACACACACACACACACACACACACACACACACGTATCAATACATAAATATAACTGACTGTATCTATTTACTATTGCTTATGTATGTATAATCTCAGGGCTCTCCACCTAGTGTTGAGCAATCAGGTAGATCTTTCATCTATTTTTTTCTTTTTCTTTTCTGTTTTTTTTTTTTTTTTTTTTTTTGAGACAGGGTTTCTTTTTGTAGTTTTGGTTCCTGTCCTGCATCTCTCTCTGTAGACTGGCCTTGAACTCACAAAGATCCTTCTGGCTCTGCCTCCTGAGTGCTGGGATTAAAGGTGTGTGCTACTGCTGCCCAGCTAGATCTTTCATTTTTTAACTGAAAATAAGTTTGAAAAATTCCCGAGATAATATTGGATAAAGGGAAAGATAGAAAAGACATATCATATCTAATACAGTAATACAGACATTACACTAAATGGGGAAAAAACTGAGAACATTCCATATAAACTCTGGAGCAAGACACTCATATTCAATATAGTGCTAAAAGTCAGCAGATAGAAGCAGCTGAGTGACTGAAGTTCACAGAAAGTTAACAAACTCAGATATGAACAAGAGATACATGGTGATGAGTTATGTTGCTGACATTTGATTTTGTATTATAATTTGATCTCTCTAGAGTAATCAAATGAGTCAATGACATGATTTATTTTTGTCTCATATTTTTCTTGCACACTTGCGGGCTTCATTTTGTTGAGATTTAATATACTGCAACAGCATTAATTTTCTTGCTTGAGACCATATTGTACAGTCATAGCTGCCACGAAGGTCAGTCCTTGTAAAGGACAATGTTTATGATGGAACATCCAGAACAAATTATGGACTAACACCAAGTTGTTTTCAGGTCTGTTGGTATTCCTGAACTTACTAAGCAGTAATATATGCTGAATCCTTGAAAAGAATATCCTTCTCCATTCGTAAATTTATCATGAGGGTTTCTGATCATTAATCATGAAAGACAGCTATGAGAAAAGCAGCTAATATGAGGATTTTAGTGATTTGAAGCATACAAACACCGCAGAATATATAATGGTTAACTATTTAAAAGATCTATCTGTTACAGGATTTATGTGTCTGTCCTCTCTCAATCTGATTTGTTCATATCTTGAAATATTGCCACGAATCATTTGTATCACACTGGACTCATAGTTAGGGGTTTTTCTAGCCCCGATAGACACTGTTTAGCCTCTGAAGAACAGGGCCTCTGATTTCTAGCCATTAGGGGGAAACCACACAAATTAGAATTGACACCAACAAGCCTCCAGGGAGCCTACCCTTTTAGAAAAAAAAATCAGTAACTTTTAAATTAGATTTAAAAAATGACTCAGATAAGGGATATTTATTTGGTAGTGAATACGTTTTCAAATTCCTTGGGATTCAACAGAAAAATGTGCATCTTTAATAGGGACATGAATTAAAACATATGGGAAGGAGGGTGTCATAACCAAGTGTTGGCTTTCAGAAGAGCAAATATGCCATAGAATTTCATCCAACCTCTTAAATGTCCCCTGTGCATTTTGGATGGGAAGAGTCCCTTTTATTCAATAGAGAATTATTTGTCATGATTTGTATTCCCAGGGGAAGGAGAAGTAGCATGTGGCAGTGTTCTAATTCTGTGGGCTTGCTATTACCTCAGTAGAAAAAAGAAAGCAAGCAACGGGCTACATTTTTCAAATAGCTCTAACTTATTTCTGGTACTTGTTCATCTTGGGACTAAGCAAGGAGAGGTTCATTTTTAATTATTTCTTTTATTTTTTTGAAATTGTAATAGAATTGCATCATTTTTCTCTTTCCCCTTCTATCCTTTCCACATATTTGTCTTGTTCCCTTTCAGATTTATGGCCTCTCTTTTCATTAAATGTTGTATATATGATACACAACATACACACACACACACATATATATAACATAAATACACTATTTGTGCAACATATATGTTTTTAGGACAGTCCATATTCAGATAGGGCAAAGAACATGCTCTAAATAGGGACCTCTTGAAATATCACATGTGCCATAGGATATAGTTCCTTTGTTTAGGATGTACCATCTAAGCTTTTAGGAAATAGACTCATCTTAGCATGAGTAGCCTAGCAAGAGATGACAAAATAGACTGCCATGTGGGGTGGAGGTTAACCTCAGTTGAAATTGATGAATTTGGAGATCAAGCAAACTATTGGTAAGAAAACATGCAGTGTTTATCTGATAATGTTAGATACACCCTCAGAAAAGTTAAATAAATATAAATACATATATTGCACAAGTTTAGAGAAAGTAGATTATGTCTCTGGATAGAGGTATAAGTGGTGCTGCAATGGTGAATGTTAAGGGTGTAGTACAAAAATCATAATAATTGAAAAAACATACCTCTTAGTGAAAACTCTTGCAAGTCCAGGTAACAGAAAATGGTAAGCATAATTATAACTATGTAATGAAAATCTGATAACACACAAATATGATTTTTTAGCCACATAAACCAGAGACTGCAAAAAATAAAACAAAAGAACAAAAAAACAAAAATGAAAAAACAATAAAGTGAATTTCAAGTAAGTTTTCTCATCCTCATATCTATGGCAGAACACTAGTTACTTCACTCAGAAAGTAGTTATGTCATGTTTCAGCTTTAAGTGTACTCTTTATTTGTTAATATATTAATTACATCATAACTATATATAGAATATATTTTGATGTTATAAGCTATATAAAATATTATCTTTGATTTAAATATATGAGCTAAAAAACAGTCAATAAATTGGTAGGACAATTTAGACAAACCCTTTTTTAATTTTTATATTATAATTATAATAGTTTTTATTCTTCTAGACTCCCATTTATCACTTCTTTCTCTCCTTCAAATTTTTCTCCTCTATTTCTATTTCTTGTTTTTCTTGTGTGCGTGTGTGTGTGTGTGTGTGTGTGTGTGTGTGTGTGTGTGTGTGTGTGTTCTAAAGAAAACCTGCTCAGTTCATGTAATGTTACTCATATGCAAGTTTTCAGGAATGACCATTTAGCACATATTCACCAACTGGTGTGCTCTTCCCCGGGGAGGACCACTTCTCCTGCTTCTCTTTATCATCAGTGGTCTATAGTTCTTTGTGTAGGGTTGAAGCTTCATTGGTTTTCTCCCTCCAGCTTAGCATGCCCATAGGTATCATCCTTGTTCAGTTCCTGTTTGGGTAGTCATGTTCATGAGACTTTATGATGTGGCTTCTGATGTTGCTTGAGCACACATTCTCAGAGCAAACTCCTCTATCCTCTGGCTCTTACAGTGAAAAGAAATCTTAAAAATATGGAGTTTACTTCACTAGTAGACCAATAGGAGTAAGGACTTGGGTTCAAGACATAGAAGATTAAAAGTAAGAAGGAAAAAGGAAAGAAATAAGACACAGTACGAAAGAGAGAAAGAGGGAAAGACAGTTGTATGTGAACCCAGAAATACTCACTAAATAAATATATCTCAGACAGATCTGGCCTTTCTTTAAACACTACCAAGAGTTGTATAGTTTATACAATTTACTATATTCATATGAAAATAATAAAATCATTTGTCCCGGGATACGGTGCTATTTAAAAGTAAGATTTAGAAGAAACATATCACAAGCCTTCAAGCAAACATGAATAATATTTTAAAAAGTACTAAAAATGATAGATGATGCATGTTAAAAAGGAACTTGGTTTTTCTCTTTGGGAGATTGTAGTAATCATAAGGATTCATGACATTCAAACCAATCCTGGATGACCTTAAACAGACAGGGTGCTTTTGAATCTGTCCTGAAATCCTTTTTTTCTCTGAGGTGCTCATGGTTTTCTGAAAGGAAGATGAGTGAAGGAAAAAATGTATTTTCCTATCTCTCTTGCAGAAGTCTTAAATAATGAGTTGCACTGACAGTGAAAATAGACGCATTTGAAAATTCATAAGAATATCACCAACTCAGTGTCTGCCATTGCCTGTCTGGCTTTCTGCTACAGTACAATTGCATTTTGTGAACTAATCAAATGTTTTGATATCTTCTTATTCATTCTTTTATTCTTAAAGATTTTATTTTACATTTAACCATGTGCAGTATGTGTTCCTGTGTGGATGAACACATGGGTGCAAGTGTCCATAGAGGTCCCATTCTTCAGACCCTCCTGAACCTGGGGCTACAGGACTTTATGAGCTGCCCAATGTGGGTTCTGAGAAGTGAATACTGACCCCCTCCCTAGAAGAGGAGTATGTTCTCTTAACCACTAAGCCATCTCTCCAGCCCCCAGTTATGCTATGTTTTTTAAACTGTATATTGTATATTGAGATCACATTCTTCCAATCACTTTACTTGTCTTCTTCCAAATCCTGCCAGTTCTTTGTCTCAGGAATGAGAAAAGCAACAAATGGAGGTGGGGGGATGTTTGAACATATTTTGCCAAAGGAAGTGTAGTGGTTGGTGTGATGAATGCCGCCCACAGTCTTGGGAATTTGAACACTTTTCCCCCAGGTGTTGGTATTGCTTGGGGAGGCTGAGTAGTGCAGACTTGGTAGGGAAGTACATTACTGGGGGAAAGCTTTGAAAAAACAAATGATAAAGCTTCACCTACTTCCAGAGCACTCTACTTGCTTTGTGCTTGCAACATAAGATGTGAGCTTTCAGCTTGCTGCTCCAGAC